CCAAGGAAAACTCTGCTAAGGCAGACCAAGTACCAAATCTGAAACTACGCGTCTGAGAAAGAAAAAAGCACCTGCTGTTCTCTATACACTCAGAAGGGCTCGGATGACTGAGAGCCCTTATCTCGGGTTCCCACTGGGGACAGGGCTGTAAAGAAGGCGGTGGGGAGGAAGAGCCGCCGCAGAAGTTCTGAACAGTTATCCAAAGAAATAGTCTCAGGCAACAAAGGAGTATAGAAGATATGAACCTTTTTTTCATTATCTGAAGTTAAAATAGAACTCACTTTCCCTCTGAGTAATGGACTCGTATTTTAGCTCACTAGAGGTAGATTTCCCATGAAAATAGAAGTTCAGAGTTAAATGAGTTAAAACTGAATTCAAATGCAAGACGCACTTAAAAAATGCCAAAGTTGCCCTGCTAGTGTGGCTCAGCGGACTGAGTGTCGTCCCTGGACTGAGAGGTCCCAGTTCAATTCCTGGTCAGGGCACATGCCAGGGTTGTGGGCTCGATCCCCAGTAGGGGGTGTGCAGGAGGCAGACGATTGATGTAGCTCTCTCACATCAATGTTTGTATCTCTCTCTGCCTCTCTCTCCAAAAAAAATCAATTAAAACATATGTTAAAAACTAAATAAATTTTAAAAATTAAAAATAAAAAGTACCCAATTTTGTACAGCAAAAGTTCAAAGCACATAATACAGTATTCTAAGTAAAATGTGACCTGGAAAAAAAACAGTCATCTGTGGCCGAGTGACTCGGTTGGTTGGAGCATCGTCCTGTATACCAAAAGGTTGCAGGTTCGATTCCTGGTCAAGGCACATACATACCGAGGTTGTGGGTCGGATCCCCGGTCGGCACATATGGGAGAATGGGAAGACCGCCAATCAATGTTTCTCTCTCACACTGATCTCTCTGTCCTTCTCTCTCTCTAAACATCAATAAAAAAAAAACATCCTTCAAATGTGCTAGACTCTTTTGCCTTCTAGCCTTTGACAGGCTTCCCCACTGGGTTGTGGTGGCCGGTTTCTCATCTCAGGTACCTTGACTCCTTCCTCTGTGTGAGGGGTTTCCTCCCAGGTGGAGACCTTCAGTCGTAGCACCTTTGCTGCCTCTCCCCTTGTCATCAGGCTGCGCAGGCCCTGCACCAGGAGCACGCCTGCCTGCCTGCCGGGCCTGCCAAGGGCCTAACAGTCTGCCCCATGGACTGGGAGAGTGAATTAGCAGTGTGTGAATGCATGAAAAGATGGCATATTTTTCCCCTCTCTTTTGATAAAGGGTCAGATGAGAATAAAATAGGAATGTGTCTCTTTCTGCTCCATTTCTCTGTACATGTGAAGAGAACGTCTAACACCAAGTGTCCACAGGCAGCCCCTTCGCCAAGGTGGTAGAACTAGCCCTGGTGGATGTTAGAGTGAGGGGTGTGTTCCCTGGCAGAATCCTCGTCTCCTGCCCAGCTGGGCATCACAGTGTGCTCCGTTAGTGGGATCGCGGCCCCCAAAGGAATCCCGTGGCCCTGACGATCTAAGGCCTGTCTGTCTGTCTGACACCCTAAGGCCTGTCTGTCCACCGCTCTTCCAGAGATGGTCTTTCATGAGTTAAACACTGGCAGGTTAGAGCAGATGAAATGTATTCCTCTGCTTTCTCCTTTCCTAAAGAACATGGGAAGTGGGGGACATGGGGAGTATATGGGGTTCTTACTACTTCTCTCTTTTTATCTGACGCTTTTATTCCTTTCAAGCCATTAGTATCTCAGGATCTGGAATCTGATTTGGCAAGCACGTTTCTTTTTCTTCACTTATTATATCTCTTTTATTCTTGATGAAACTCTTTTCTCAATAACCGGGACTAGACTCGGCTCGTTTGTCTCATTATTTAATCTTATTGACTATAAACCTACAGTTACCATTAAAATCAATAGAAGACCACCTCGGAACAGCGGTACACAGACAGGCCTTAGAGCGTCGGGGCCACAGGATTCCTCTGGGAGCCGCGACCCCACCTATTCACACACTGCTGATTCACTCTCCCAGTCCATGGGGCAGACTGTTAGGCCCTTGGCAGCCCCGGGAGGCAGGCAGGCGTGCTCCTGGTGCAGGGCCTGCGCAGCCTGATGACAAGGGGAGAGGCAGCAAAGGTGCTACTGCTGAAGGTCTCCACCTGGGAGGAAACCCTCACCCAGAGGAAGGAGTCAAGGTACCTGAGATGAGACACCGGCCACCACAACTGAGTATTCCAGACAAGGGGAAGCCTGTCAAAGGCTAGAAGGCAGAAGAGTCTAGCACATTTGAAGGAATGAAAATTTTAAAAGGCCGAAAACACGTGCGGGCAGGAAAGGGAGACGGCAGGGAGTGTGCAAAGACGAGACCGAAGAGGTAGGTGGTGTCAGACCGTCCAGGGGCTTAGAAACCATGTTCTGAAGTTTAACTTTGATTTTAAAAACCTGGAGAGGTACCAGTGGAGCATTTTAAGCAAAACAGTAACTTGGCCAGACTTTGTATTTTTTTAAAGTTCTTGGACTGCAAAATGAGAAGTAATATGAAAAGAAAGAGACCAGGACATGGTGAAGCCAATCAGATGAACAACAACTACTATAAAACAAAACGGAAATCAAGAACCACAGACAATACCTAAGTGTGATGACTAACAGTCTGGAAAACAAGGGATGACAACATTTAGAAACAGCTACCACACTAATACACCCTAGATTAAATCAACCCCGCATCTGTCCTACACTTGTCTTACTATCCTTTCAATTTCATTCCCTACCTCTTACACCAAATGCACCCTCCTTCCCCACTATCCTAACTGTATCAACCAGCTAGCTGTCCCTCATGGTGGCCATTTGGCACACATGGCTATTAAATTAATTAAAATAAAATACATGTCAAAAGTTGGTTCTGCGCCAGGCCGGTGTGGCCCAGTGGCTGAGTGTCAACCCATGCACCAAGTGGTCACTGGTTCAATTCCCGGTCAGGGCACATGCCCAGGTTGTAGGCCCGATCCTCAGTGGGGGGCATGCAGGAGGAGGCCAACCGATGTTTTCTCTCATGGATGTTTCTCTCTCTCTCTTCCTTCCTCTCTCTCTAAAACCAATAAAGAAAAAAAAAGGTTAGTTCCGCAGTAGCAACAGCCACAGTTCAAGTGTTCAACAGCAACAGATGGCAGGTGCTGAGTACCCAGCACAGCTCAGAGCATGTCCCTCACTGCAAAACAGTCTACTGGACAGTGCTGGGCTCTAGACACACCTCAATCTGCCACTTCGCCAGGTAAACCTATTAGAAACAGCACATCTACCTGAGAAGCACCTGGGAAAACAGATTCACTCACTGTCTCATGCCCACACCTTGGGTATTAATAAGCTTCACAGTATAGTGAGACTCATGGTGCGTGAGCCACAGGACAGCTCTGTGTTGGGGCTCATTAATCCTCACTATGATCTGAAGAAATGGAAAAGTCACAGACATCACCCATGTTTTATAGGTGAGGACACAAGGCCCAGAAATTAACCTGCCTGAGGCTATAAAGTCAATAATGGAGTCACAAATAGAACCTGGATTCCCTTACGCCCGGCCAGTACCCCATTCATTAACGTAGTCATGGCTGATTTAAGGAGCCAAGGACAGAAACTATTCTATTTCACCTGACCCAAGCAACCATTCGCTTTGTCAAATGGCTTGTTACACCCACAGGAGGGTCATATCTGTTAGGTCCATATATGGACCTAATGTAACGTACGTGTGTGTGTGTGTGTGTGTGTGTGTGTGTAAGGCAAAAAATAAGAATGTAAAAAGGATATTCATCCCGAGTTTGCCCCAATTACTTTATCACATATGATGGGAAAGAAAGGATATTAAACACACTTAATGAAACTAACAGCTCCAAGGTATAATACTCCTGTATTAGTAATTTGCATTATATGATTACGTATAAAAATTACAACCTAGAAGCTCTGCATTTTGTAATTCTTATTTGCCTCTGTAACCAGAGTAAGTCTGACCTTTCCATGTTCCTTCCATCCTACAGAAGCAATGGGGACACAGAGAGACAATTCTTGCATTTCCATTTCAACTACCTCATTGACTGGAAAGAGTAAAATAATATATAGGGAGACATGACCCAAGTTATAGATTAAAGACATCAAATCCACACACAGCATTTCCTTGACAATCTTTACGACGAGTTCCCAATGCAGCCTCAGCACTCACTAATGCGTCTGCCCTGATGCTGCAAAACGATCCACCGGCGCTTCGTCCCGGTGACGCGAGCGCGCTGAGAACACACCGGACCGCCCTTGCCTAATATCGGAATTCTTACATGTTTTAACTGTTGTTAGACCAAATATGCAGAAAAGGCAGAAAAGGAATGGAATATTTAAAACAATTGAAAGCACTGGGAGGCATATAACAGTTATTTCTATGTGTCTAATTCTTTTTCTATTAATAAGTTTTTCTTTTTCATCCTCACCCGAGGACTTTTTTTTTGTTGTTGCAATTATCTTCAGATAGAGCGGGAGGAAGAGAGCAAGGAAGAGAGAGAACCATTGACGTGAGAGAGACACATCGAGTGGCTGCCACCCACATGACTTCAACTGGGGTCGGGGTCAAACTGCAACCGAGGTACATGCCCTTACCAGGAACTGAACCCGGGACTCTCTGGTCTGCAGGCTGAAGCTCTAACCGCTGAGTCAAACTGGCCATGACTCTATTAATAAGTATTAATCCATCCAAAGAACATAAAAACCAACTGAATTTGTACAGAAAGTCAAAGCTTCCAAAATAAATTGGACAACTATTTCTGAATAAAAGAGCTTATCTCCTTCGAATATGGATCATAAAGGAAAAGGGCATAAATGATGATTTTAAACACTGAATTTAATGGTCACATCTAACTTTAGTTGAGAAAGAGGAGAGAGCCAGCCATCAAGTAGATTAAAAAGTCTTTGCTTCGCCACAGACCCTGACTTAGGAGTACGAGTCAATAAAAAGCCCCCATGTTGAATACTCACACAGCGCTCCTGGAAGCTCCGTAGGACAGTAACAGCCTCACGACATCCACGTGCCCGTTCCTGGCCGCGTCGTGGAGTGGCGAGTCGTTCTGATACCCGGGGGTGTTCACCAGCGCCTTGTGCTGGAGTAACAGCTCCACGACCTCCAGGTGTCCGTGACTGCAGGCCTCGTGCTGATGTTAAACAGGGAAAAAGTGAGAAGAGTGACGAGGAAGAGCAATGGATAATGTCCTAATAAAACCACACGTTAGAAAAATAAGCGTGAACCTCAGTCAGCAAACCGTTCTTACTAAATACTCATAGGGACCGTAGCTGTGGACAGAATAAAAGCACTACAAATAAGATACATGGTGATTAAGATCTATGCAATTCAGGGGAAAAGAAGTTTTTCATTTGAGCCTTAGGTCAAGTACTCTTATTTTAGAAGAAAATGCAGCTTTAAACCAATTATAGTTTCTAAATTATTCTACAATAGAAAACTTAAAACAACAACAACAAAAATATAGAAAGCATTTAACCACCAAATCATGCATAAAATTTGAAATTCTCCAAGGCTAAACAGAATTCACTAAATTCATAAGCTACATGGTATACCCGAACATACATATAACCACCCCATAAAGTGAATATTCAAATGAGTGTAAGACAAGCCTCTCTTATTTGTTGAAGCTACAGATTACTGTACAGCTGGTGTCAATGACAACAGAAATAACATGGAGTAGATCGAGCTTACTGAATGAATGACTTCACTGGTAACAACGCAATGTTCAGATATCTCATGCTCAAATCTTTCCTTACGTCTTAATGAACTACTAACAATGCCACTCTGCTGTAATCTAATAAATCTATGATATATTTTGCTATTCAATTCACATTAGGTGGTACATACTAAACGCCTGTACGTTTATTTCTGGGAGAAAGGAATTCCAATTAGGCATTAGGCCCTCGAACTTACTCACCAACTTTTACTATAATTTGCCTTAGTGGCTTAAAAAAATAATGAACCTTTCTTTGAAAAAGTTACTCAGCCACAATGCAAACAACAAAGACTCTGATCCAGACGAAAGCCTCCCAGTTTAAATTTGGCAGAGAGAAGTCATTATGTACCACCTTAAACCATTTTTGCACCTAACCTAAGAATCTCCCAATTTTTGTGACTTTCCAGTTCCCAAGATAAAGGCGTCCACCTCATCTGTTGACAACTCTACGAATGTATTCCAATCACATGCTTATTGTCCTAATATAAGTAGCCCATATACCACTTGTTCCCATGTATTTGTGCTATTATTTTTCCAGATTATTCTTCACACTGCATTTTAGTAATAATAAGCAGAGGTTTTAAAAATGATTAATGAAGCAAAGTTGTACTGCCTCTGTATATCTGGAATTGGGTAGGGCATGTAAGTGAGGCTGAGATACATCCTCAGTAAGAGCAGCTGCCTCGCCCTGGCTGGTGCGGCCCTGGCTGGTTTGGCTATGTTGGTTGAGTGTCATCCAATGCACCAAAGGTGACCAGTCCGAGTCCCAGTCAGGCACATGCCTGGGTTGTGGGCTCGATCCCCAGTATGGGGCATTCAGGAGGCAGCCAATCAGTATTTCTCTCTAACATCGATGTCTCTCTCTCCCTCTCCTTTCTAAAATCAATAAAAACATATTAAAAAAAAAAGAATAGAAGCCTAGTGGTACCTTCCTAACCCACCCAGTTCCTCTGACCTTCCTTTGTTCCACAAAATGCTTCTAAATGCATGCACTACTGCAGAATGGAGCGATGTTGGCTGTAGCAGTTACCTTTCCAAACATGTGCTAAATTCCACACTATGGTATAACTGGTTTCCTACATCGGTCAAAAGGTAGCTCATTTCGTGCCTACCACAATTCAAGAGCTAGATGAAAAATAATCATTTTCTCTTACCTGGTAAAGGTATAACTTCAGATTTTAAAAATGTATACGGCACAGAATGATATATAGACAACTACATAACTATAAATTATAAAATATAAACAGAACAGGAATCAAGGACAAACAAACAGAAAACTACCAATGGTGTCCATCCAGCATGATCCTTAACATTTGGGTCGCTTCCATTTTCTAAGAGGTATGCAACAGAAGGTATGTCGCCCTAGTGTAAGAACAAAGAAAACAAAAAGATATTAAAAATCATCAAGGGAAAAACAAGATAATTGAGATTTTGTTGTTTTTTTTTTTCCCAAAGAGTCTTCTTCTTTAAGATAAAATAAAACAAATATTTTCCCTTGAGCCTAGCCTACTGCTCATGAGTTAATAAGTTTTGTGCGTATGAAATGTTCTTAGGTAACAAGTCCTGGAACACATGTGGCCCATCCTTGAATACAGGGTACAAAACCTCTGTTAGGAGCAACCCATGTTGAAATTCATTTCAAAATACCATATAAAGGACTCTAGCCACAGATCATCTAATCAGAATCAAGTTATTAATGTCATTTCATTTGTAAAAAGCTTCTTTTTGAACACACATAAAAATGGTTTCTGAATATTATTTAAAAGAAAATCAAAGCCAAAAAGACTGCTCAGTAAAACCAACGTTAAGACTGCCAAAAACTGTCTTACGGGCTGTCACTCTCGCCTTAATCCATTAATTTAGCTTACATTCACCTTATTTGCTCAAAGATATTTTTCTAGGTAGAAGGAAGGCTTATTTTCTCCAAAATAACTAACTTAGCTTTCTCTGAAAAATAAATTTAAAATACTACATCCGACAAGTTACTTATGACAATGTTGTGTTTTGTGAAGCACTTCCTTAAGGAGAAAGACATGTCTCCTCCCACACCCAGCCCCAGCCCTCTGAAAAGAGTTTTTGTCCTCTGCAGGCTGATATCATAGAAGTCATTAAGACCCCCGAATACAGTAACATCGACTTTCATTTCATTGTCTGGGTCACCTTTCCTATGCAGCACACCTTAAGATGGCAGCTTATTTGATTTTCTGAAAAACAAATCCACATGAACATATATAATTTATGTTCCTGAATTAACGAAATGACCTTAATATTCAAAGCACCTAAAAAATAAGCATGATATGTGTTTCAAATCAAATGCTCCAGTTCGAATAAAAAACATTTGCCTGTGGTTCCTGAGGGGTGCACATTCTATATCTCTGAACAAGTTAACATGCATTTAGCAACTTTTGCTCTATATTCAAGTTTGTTCCAAACGAGCTCAGGAAAATCTGTCAAGATACAAATATGAAGTTTTGAAAAACAATTTGGGGCAGATGAACTGCCAGAACCACACACACTCCCAACCCTCAGCGTGAAAGAAGACAAAAAACCTTTCACTCTAATTCTACCTGGTAATCACAAAACCACACTCCCCTAAAGCAGCCCACAAAATAACAAACACGAGTGTGGAATGAAGAGTCACGTGGAAACGTCACATAGGAACAGAGTGAAACTCAGAGTTCTGGAAGGCTACCAGGTCACCTCTTTGCGTTAGCAAAGACTTCCTGTTAGCAATGCCTCCTAGACTCCCCGGACTGTACAGCTGATCTGCAAGCTGCTTGCTTTTTCTTTATTCTATTTCCTTTCCATCACCTTTTATCCTCCTATACCCTCTTCCACCTCCACCCCACCCCCGATCCCCCACAATCACCACACTGCTGGCAGCTTGCTTTCAACACCCAACCTGCTTTCTCTCCCCAAGAACTTACGAGTTTGTCATATTTTCATCCTTCCCCTTTATGTAAATTTAATATCATGCACATAAATAAAATTATGATAATTAGATAGGATCCACAGTAACTGGGTAAGCTTGAACCGATATGAAGTTCCAGGAAATAAATTAACTTCTGCCTCTGATTCCTTTAAATTACTTTCTTCTGTAACATAATATTTTCTGGTAATAAGCACTCACTTTTAGGCTCCTCACAACTTAAAAAAAATATATTTTTTTTTTTTTATCCACAGCAAGGAAAAAAAAATCATCTGAGGACAGTATTTACCAAGGCTTAAAAGACATTCTAAGTGGATTGATACTTGGAAGTAATACCTTAAAGGCTGAAATAAGGAAGCATGTGTGCCGCACTAGATTTTCTTACTGCGGACCTTTCACTCGAAGGGAAGACTCTTCACACATCCGTGCACACTCTAACAATATAAATTAACTTTCCAAACACACACACACACAAACAAAACTTTTTCCTTACTACACAGGTTAGCACTCCCAAAATATTGTTAAAAAAACATTTTTATGAAAATAGTATAGAACATTGCAAGTGCAATAATCACAAGTTACCCCGAATGGTTAAGCTTTCCACATATATGAACTGACCAAGCACCTAAAACTTCTTTTAGCAACTAGATATCATTTTTTAAAAATTCAGTCATCTGCAATGGAGCTGTCAAATGTATTAGACATTTCCCTGGCTTCTGAGCCAGAGTTTACTGAACAAAACCATTTCGCAGGTGATCCTGACAATCTAGTCATCGAGACTTAACTCACTGGTACTGCAGAGGTGGTGGATGACGGACAGAGGGGAAATGGACAGACTCCAAGAGATGTTCTAGAAATGAAAGTCTTGAAAATATCACAGATGCCCGTTTGCTTTTGAGTCCTTTGCCACTTTCGCAGAAAGCCAGTAGGAAAGACATGTGATGATCTGACTTTATACACAGTATAACATGACTGCAGTCAAGTATTATGACTTACAAAGTCAATCCCTGAAGGAGGCTCCTCACCAGGGATTTTCTCTCTACCCAGGAGATCCTCATCATCTTTGTTATGTTAAGCACATCATGCCTTGTAAACTGCCTTCAAAATATTACCTATTGTGTCTGCATGACAAATACACCATATGACATGCCAACTTCAAGCCATTCTTGTATTTCATAACATGTTCACTGCTGTGGCATGAATTCTGAATAGTCATTATCATTTTAAGGATCTGTACTAGAGAACCTTGGGGAGATTTTTCCCATCACCTACAAATTCTCTAGCAAAGGTGACATAACAGAGTAACAAACCAAAATCTTCTCTATGTCTAGAGAAATGTCAAACACTAAGGTATTTTTTCCCCCATTAAATCAGAAGAATAAACAATATGAGTGTTCATCTTAGTTTCTACTTAGGCATAGTACTTTCTCATAAAATCTCTCATTTATAACATAATGTTCTCAGCAGCACTATAATCACAGGAGACACACACATTCAAACAAAAACATGGGGAATAAAGAGCCTAATGGATCTCAATGTTTGTTCTGGTTAAATGAGAATGTTCACAACATCCCAGTGTTATTCACATCGTATTAGTGAATATCCTGCTTGAAATTCTCTAGTGTAACAAAATAAAAGTACAATTAAGGAATAATCCTGTGCAGAGTTTTCATTCAAAAACTAGCTGCCTGGCCTGTATGCCCATGATCCTGAGGAAAAAGGAGTATGAGAATTCATAGTCCATAGAGTATCTTCTGATGATCTACATTCAGTCAACCAGAATATTTAGGCAGTCTGGATATTTTATAAGATCCTTCTGCTGCCAAGATAAATAAGGTAACAAGTCAACCCAGAAGTCCCATTTCTAAGAATTTATCCTAAAGATATACCTGCGCACATATGAAACAAAAACTGCTTATTGTTTATAGAAGGAAAAAAACCCAAAGGCATCCATCAGTAAGAACTAGTTAAATAAGGAAAGCTCATGAAAAGCCATGCTACTATAAAAATGTACAAAAAGTTGTGTACTAACATGGGGAGCATTTGCTTCCATTTCCATAAAGAAATTCACAAACGATACCCAAGAACGCGGTCAGCAGGAAGGTCCGCAGGAAGGGCTTGTCAGCACCGGTGGCTGGGGCAGAAGTGCAAGGGGGGCTTTCCACTAGCAATACTTTCCTTTTTCTTTTTGAAACATGAAGCTACTACTCATATTTTGAAATTAAATTTTAAATGAGGAATATGCACCGGATAACCATGAGTCATATAATATAAATAAATAAAAGCTAAATTAGAAAGCTAAATGAACATTAAGTGCAAACAAAACAATGTCACCATAGAGAAGCAGCTAACTCTGGAAATTGTGAGAAGACTTATTACGAAGGTAGGATGTGAGCTAGATTTTGAGGGCAGGTCCTAGGAGCAGACGGGACAAGAGGAGGGTCAGGGAAAAGAACCGTGAGCACAATGGTGGGGTTAATGATGTGTCCGAACCACCCGTAACGTTCACAGCGAAAGCAGAATGGGGTTCGGATCATGGCTGAGTAAAAAATTCACTCATTTATTCAACAAATATCAATGTTCTACACTCTGAAGATATACCAGTGAACAAAGAGAACTCCCGTTCTCATTCTAAAGACAGGGAGAAAAAACAAAGACATCTACAATAATAATGTCGGGAAATAACAATAGGAAGAAAGACATACAGGCTACCGGGATGGCCCAAACTGCTCATTTAGCGACGTTAGGAAAGTCTCTGAAGAGGTGGCATTTGAGCAGAAGCTGAAGGAGGGATGGCATAGGGCCGTGTGGGCGCGGGAAGCCTGGGGGTTTCCTTGTCCGCGGGCCAGGAGGTTACTGGTAGGGGAGCGAGAAATGACACGTCTGGCTTAGGTCGGGTTACTATGGCTGGCATAGAGGGAAGGATGCAGGAAAGCAGAGCAAGAAATTAGGACGCTACTTCATGGTGCGGTTAGTAATGACCCTCCAAACCGTCTATGTTCTAATCCCCAGAACTTGTATACTACCTTACGTGACAAAAGGGACTTTGTAATGCGATTAAGGGTGCGGATCGTAGGTGGGGAGGTGGCCCTGCGCTGCCAGGTGGTCCCAGGGGGCCTTCCTGTCTAGGGGGGAAAGATGACTGAGCACTCCACGCTCTGCTGCTGGCTCTGAAGGCAGAGGAAGAGGGACACACACTAAGGAACTGTCACAGTCTCGAACCTGAGAATGGCCCTTCGCTAACAGCCAGCAAGGAAACAGGATCTCAGTCTTTTTTTTTTTTTTTTAATCCTCACCCGAGGACATTTTTCCAATTTTTGTACAGATAGAGTGGGAGGGAGAGAGAGAGAGAAACATCGACGTGAAAGGGACACATCGAGTGGCTGCCACCCGCACGACCAACCAGGGCACGACCAACCAGGGCCGGGGACAAACTGCAACCAAGGTGCGTGCCCTTAGCGGGAACCGAACCCGGGTCTCTCCAGACCGCAGGCCGACGCTCTAACCGCTGAGCCAGACCGGCCAGGGCCAGGATCTCAGTCTTAACAAGCACATAGAACACGCGGTGGCTTGAAACAAACCAAATAATCAAGGAGATGGGTTCTCGCTTGGAGCCTTGGGAAAGAAACCTGCGGACGAACTGATGTCAGCCTGTGAGACCCACGCCAGACTTCCGACCTGAGGAAACACATGTGCCTTGTGTTCGGTCACTACATTTGCAGGACAGCAAAGGAAACTCACACAAGTGGTCAGGGCAAAAAAGACAAGCAGCACCCACGAGAGAGACTCCGGCCAACAGAGATGCCCAGAGGAAGGTCTGGAGCGAGATATTAAGGGCTTTTGTTAATAATGTTACCAAGCTCAGAGACCATTCTGTAAAGCCCCACTGCGGCAGGGGAAGCTAACCAGCCGAGAGAGCGCGCCAACTGCCGCAGGTCCTCTGTCCCCGGCCGCACACCAAACATGCGTCACAACCGCTCTTCCACCATCAGTGACAGTGCAAATATGAAACATGCAAGTCTACAGAGACACGGAAAAATAGCAATGACAACAACGACAAAAATCTACCTTTGGCAGCAAAGACCTGGTACTCCCCCTTATTTGCTCTGGTCTAAAAGGCCATCAAATCTATATTCATCATCCAGCTGCAGAAAGCTCCTCCCTCCTTCCCTGCACCTTGTCCATTTAACAGTAGTTTTAACTGTGAGCCCCTCTAATCCCTCCCTGAAGTAGGTGGGTACGAAACATAAACTAAGATGCCAGAATTGCAATATTAGGTTTTCTAGTACACATTTCATTTTCAGCTGCAAATAAAAACTAGTACAGTAAAAAATATAATAAATATATGATAATAAATATAATATATATTATACTTTATAATAAATAAATATAATATTTATTATATTTTTACTGTAATATCTATATAGATATAGACATATACAAATAAATCTGAGTTTTTTTCAAGTATTTGTTTTAGTAAAATCAAGCTGAGTGGGGGTGGACATTCAACTCTTAAATTTTTAAGAGACACTACTGATAAACAGTGATTTAAAAAAAAACAACAGAGCCCTGGCCAGTTTGGCTCAGCGGTTAGAGCGTCGGCCTGCGGTCCGGAGAGACCCGGGTTCGGTTCCCGCTAAGGGCACATACTTCGGTTGCAGTTTGTCCCCGGCCCTGGTTGGTCGTGCGGGTGGCAGCCACTCGATGTGTCCCTTCACGTCGATGTTTCTCTCTCTCTCTCCCTTCCTCTCTCTCTCCCTCCCACTCTATCTGTACAAAAAATGGAAAAATACCCTTGGGAGAGGATAAAAATAAATAAATAAAAAAAAACAAAAAAAAAAACAACAGAACCCTGGCCAGTTTGGCTCAGCAGTTAGTCGGCCCGCGGACCAATGAGTCAGAGGTTCCATTGCAGTCAAGGGCAGGTACAGGGCACGTACCTCTGTTGCGGTTCTTCCCTGGCCCTGGTTGGGATTGTGCGGAAGGCAACCAATTGATGTGTCTCTCTTGCATCAGTGTTTCTCTCTCTCTCCCTCTCCCTCCCTCCTTCCAACTCTATCTAAAGATAAATGGAAAAATATCCTCAGGTGGGGATTAAAATAAATAAATGAATAAATAAATCCAATAGAAATCAATTGTCTTTTCAGAAGTGCACTGTATCAGAACCTGCCAACAGAATTTTATAAGTTCAAGAGAATCAAAATGGATAACTCTAATGCTGGCAAGACTCAGTAACTGACAATCTGACAAAACTTGTACAAAACAATCTTCAGTGGAGAAAATTCACAAGGTAGCATCAGACCACCATTTTCTCTGTCTTAAGATTCTACTGTGGCTTCTTCCAAGGCCTAGGCCAAGGGCCAGCAAACTGTGGCCCGTGGGCCATACACCTGCTTTTAGATGTAAAGTTTTATTGGCTGACACATTGTCTATGCCTGAGTTGAATAGCTGTTAGATTGTTTGCTTTGCAAAGCTGAAAATATTTATTCCAATTGCCCTCTTAAGAAAGAGCTGGCCAAGCCATGGCCTAGATTCCAAGTCTTAGAAAAATTCTTTACCAATGTAAATGGATGCTGACCTGGTGGTCTGAAAATAATTCCCAGGAAGCAAAATGTAGAAACTAAAGCCGCCACATTCTAATGTATTATTCAGAAAAACGAGTAAAAAATAAGTGTTATGCTAGCTACTTATGTCTATGAAGCATTAATAATGTTAAGATTTGCCCTGGCCGGTTTGGCTCAACGGTTAGAGCGTCGGCCTGCGGTCCCGAGAGACCCGGGTTTCGTTCCCACTAAGGGCACGTACCTCAGTTGCAGTTTGTCCCCGGCCCTGGTTGGTCGTGCGGGTGGCAGCCACTTGATGTGTCCCTTTCACATCGATGTTTCTCTCTCTCTCTCTGCTCCTCTCTCTCCCCCCCACTCTACCTGAACAAAAAATGGAAAAATGTCCTCGAGTGAGAATAAAAAAAAACAAACAAAAAACAAAAACAAAAAAATAATGTTAAGATTTATAATAGCTTATTTGTATATATTATGCATATGTGTATATATTATATATAACAAAGTAGACCCCCAAAAATATAGTCTGATTTTTAAAACATGCTTTGCAAAACTCAAACTAAAATGTAACCAGAGCTAACTGAAAATGTAAGGCGTTCAAAGGATATGTAATGCCAACTATGTGGTCATATTGCAGGTTCTCCCCCACCCCCTTGCATCAGATGTAGAATATTCTACATTCATCATTTACTGGAAGATAAAGCAAGGAAAAAAACAAAACACTAAGAGTTGAGAGACTCATTTTTGTGCATTTCTCTTTCTCCACACAAAAACATGAGGATCCCTGGACTCAATGTCTCCTCTATGTTCTGCACAGATGTTTTATGTCACCAACCTCATGAAGAGGTTCTTTCCAGACCTCCCAAAGTTCTCTATCCATACACAAGACCCAAGGATTTCCCAAAGAATTTACTGGAGTATCATAAAACCTACCTTGATTCAGTACTGAGCTCTCCTGTCACATTTTGGTAACACTTACACGAAATCACAGCTCAGTCTATGAAGCTGTGGTGCTAACTCCTCTTTCCACGCAGGACCTGTGCCAATTTCAAAGAGAACCACCCCCTGTTCCCTGAACCAACCAGCTTCCAAAAAGCAACACTGCCACAACCCAGGTGCTGAGGCAATAAACAAAGACAATTAACTCCCAAGAACAGGCTACAGAGGCATGGCTGGCTGTAAGGCACACACAGCTCCTTATGGAGAGCCACAGGGGCCATTTCTCAGTCAAATTTCCTGGTCATCAGAGAAACAGACAGATCACATCTTCCAACCTTCCAGATTCTGGCTGTGCCCCCTAGGAGTGTCAAACATACAGAAGCTTGCCACCTCTCACACTGCCCCTGGCTCTTCTGCTAAGAAAGACAGGTTGCCAGCAGAAACTTGCCAATTATCTATATTCATAGAGCATGGGAAGAATGGGCAAACAAACTGGTGGAAACCGAACAAAACCATTATGGAATAGACAAAAACAAAAGCACTTGCCAAAGTAGAAGCTAAAATACTGACACACTGGTTCCCTCGGCAAGCTCACGTTCTCAGGCCCGGGCCCACTGCTCTGAGACCGGCACGTGGTCCCTAGGAGTCAACCCTACTTCTCTGGTTCAATCTTTAACAGCGTCGCATCTGTGGGAGTTAATTACCCTAGTCATCTTTTCTCATTTTTCACAACCTCCAAAGAAACTGTTTCCTGTTTGGTTTCATTCTGAAGTTGTGTTTCAAAGGAAGCTCTGTACCTTAATTGAAGCAACATGGAGCAGCGTCTCGCCCTTCCGATTTCTTTTCTCGGGGTTGCCGGGCAGCGGCATCGCCGAGGGGCTGGGCAGCAGCCGGCCGCAGGCGGAGCTGCGCCGTGCAGGCGGGGTACCGGGTGACGAGCTAAGGGACTCGTCCAGTATCGTCCTCTCCTTCCTCCTGAATGTGTCACCAGCTCGGCGTTTGCGTTTGCTTGCGGGCGGCAAAGGAGGGCCAGGCAGCGGGAGGTTTTCTGAGGCCTCTGCTTGCTCAGCATCGTCCCCAGGGGTGCTGGGAGCGTCCCCACGGGTGCTGGGAGCGTCCCCACGGGTGCTGGGAGCGCTGCTCCTCCGGCGCTTCGAGGCGGGGCGGGCCGGTCGCCCGCGCTCCCCACTGTCACCCAGGGGCGCGGGCTTCTCGGACGGAAGGTCATTTTCAGAGAGAGGCTTCTCGGGAGTCACTGCCTCCTCCCTGCTCTCAGTCTCTGGGGACTCGATGTGCTCAGCCAAGGGCAGAGAGACCTGGGCTGAGGTCCCCGAACACTCATCTTCTGCAGCAGAGCCGCTGGCCAGCAAGTCCACTTCGCCGTTCCTCCGAGGACGAGCAAGGCCACGTGGCTGGAGACAGAAGGAGACCAGCTTTTCCTTAAACTCTTCTTTGGGGTCAAGTTCCCCATCTTTTTTGTCTGCCTCTAAATTCCATTCTTGGTTGATTTTAGCTAAAGTTCTCTTTTTCCGCCTCTTTGCGGACCTGGTGGGAGCCGCGGCGGCCCTCGCGGAAACAGCGCCGGGCGGGCTGGAGGACGCGTACTCGTAGGCCGAGGCCCGCTGGGGGCCTTCCCCGGATCTCACCCGAGGCTGAGTCTGCACTGAAACCTTGCTTACCACGTATCTGACCTTCTTACTTCGAGGACTAAACCACATTTTTATTGAATTCTTCTTATTTTCTGCATCATTAAATAAATTTTTCCTGGCTGTATCTTCTTTTAAATCTGATAGAAAAAAGGAAAAGAAATCTTTTACATGAACTTAATCTCGCCCATCCTGCGCTCCCAAAGAATTGCGTTTACTGTTTTCCTAAAATTTATCACCTTTTATTTGTGTACCTCTTTCTGCCATTCTAGACTATGAATTCCGTAAGCACGGCTATTCATTCATTCAACAAATATGTACAGAATCCTACGTTAGTCCCGACAGTGTTCTAGGGACTGGACATACACCAGAGAACACAACAGGGGACTTCTATCCCACCACACCTGTAGGTGGAATAGGCCTGCCAAGTAAAAGGTAACACTTTAAATAGGTTAAAAAAATAAAGAAAGAAAGAAAAATTGTGAATTTTGAAAAACAATTAGTATTTATCTCAGTACAAGTTACGGAGACACGATCCCTGACTAGTAAAGGAATTTCATCGAATTCCAGTCCACTCCCAAGAAGCCACCCCTTCCCTCCTGGTGGGACATGCAGCACACTGGAAAGGCAGGAGCCGAGGAACCCCGCTGAAAGCACAGGTGTGGATCTGAGTAAGGGCAGACCCTCTGACGTCCTTCCAACGTCCTGGCTGAATGTCGCCCGGTCCACCAACTGTTATTAGGACATGATCTTGGAAATCAAAACAAACAGAGAGGTATCCATTCACATCGAGACGTAATGTCTAAATTCAACAAGGTCTTTCCTCTGCAGTGATAAGAAGATTTCAAAACTAAGTCACTTCTGATAAAATCTCAAATCTAGAGGAAAGGTCAAAATGAAGTGTTACCAGGATTACTTTTTAAGAAAGACTCAGGATTACAAAGACTAAAGGTTAATCCTCTGGTAGTCTGTAAAAACTTGTATTTGATGTTTTAAAATTTGAAACACAGATAATGACATTTTCAACTAAAAAGTCAAACCCTGAAGTCCTCAATGCTTATAAAACTTACAAAATGTGGAATTAGACATTTAACAAAAAATTCAGGCTTTTAAGTAGTAGCAACACATTCAATTGACTAAAAAATTCTAAATCTAAAAAGACAACAAGTTTCACTCAGGTGTACATATTTCCTAACTTATACAGCAATGAAGACAGCATATGGCCATGTAATTTAGAGGCACACAATAAATCCACTAGTCACCCAGTAATCCTGTATTTACTCAAGATTATTTTAATTGTGTATCTTGTCCTACCTAAGCAGAGACCACAACCACAAGCATATTGTAAACTGTGGATTTTACACAGCATATGGAAGTTAGGACTTTAAAAGCGAACCCCCAACACTGCCGGAGCATCAACCACACTAGCGATGGCTACACCTTGCATGGGTGAATGCTTCTAAGCATGATAAATTATCATATTCATTTCACAAAGAAAAACACCGGTCCTTCCTCTACATGGAGGATTTCATAATGATGACATTTAAAAGAATCTTGGTCTCTGAATGTAAACATTTCTGAGTACTCCATACTGTAGAGGAACAGAGAGGCATGTGTTGCCAAGGAGCTGCTCAGCCAAGTTTACTCTTAAAATTTAATAAACTATAGAAGAGGGAGCCAATTAGCAAATGTGATTTAGCTATCATTAATCTACATCAAAGGATTATAATGATGTACATTGTGTCTTTCAAATTATCCTCTATTATAGGTTTCACAACAGAAGTTGAGAAATCTCTTTAACAAACTAGCCCCTTATTAAAAATCAAAGGAAAGCACTTTGCTACCATCTGTGCAACATTAACGTCTTCAGTGAGAATGACTATTTTGTAAGTTAAGAGTATTCAGTTCTATCTAAAAAAATAAAATAAAAACACAGCTATTCAAATGCTCATCTTCATCTATTATAAAACAGTCAAAGCATATAGGAAACACTATGTAATTCACCAAAGAAAGACCAGCATCTCTCCTGAAATCAGAAAATAAACTGTGAACCTATGAAAGCATAACCACAGTCTTTTTTTTTTTTAGTATCACCAACCCCAACATATATTTCATAGAACCTGACCAGCACCTGCAAGGTCTGATTTAATATGATGGGGCAAGCTCCATTAGTAGAAAACAGATTCTGTTATAAAGAATAAGATAAAATTATCCATAAATGGTTATCAGAAAAATTTATGACAGTCTCTTTGCTTTAAAATACACTGAACCGAGAAAAATCTATTCAAGTATTTAGAAGCTCATTTTAGAAAGCATCACTGTAAATCAGGCTGCTTTATCTCCAGTATATACCATATATATGTCCATGACTTGACAAGTTCTTCCTAATTACCCACTTAATTACAGTAATTATAAATTTTATAGTAAGTGCAAATAACAAGGTTCATTTGGAAGATAAATTGTGAACTACAGGTTTTTTAAAAAATAGAGAAAATGTAGATGTCCAAACATTCCACTTAGTTCACCTTCAACCTTGACCATTTAACCACATGATTTTGGAGCTAGACCGCAGGAATCACTTAATCTAACACTCTTACTTTATGAGATCATTTCCAGTTTCCTTATTATAAAGGGGGATCAACCATTATTCTATCTGCTCACCTCACTCACCTTACACCACGTTAAGTGCTCAACTAGATAAACTAACATAAAGGTACTACATGAAATATACTGAACAGATAAACCATAAAGAAACATTCTCAAAAAAACTCCACTGCCCTTCAAGGCTAGTTTAAGGGACATCGGGAGGAAAAAATGATGACAATGCAATTTACAATAAGTAGAAAAAGCTTTGCACTATGGAAATTAGATCTGGATTAGAAATTTATATTTCAGAATTTACATTTCAGATAATTTATATTTGTCATCTTCTATAAAAGTAGCAAAGGAGAATGTTACCATTATGAAATGAATTGTTGAAACCAAAACCTAAGAATTTGTTTTAAAATTGTTTTGTTTTCATTCAGGTTAGTCTCTGGGACATGAATGAAGTCTTAGCACTGCCAGTTTTTCTCCAACTCAAGTCAACAAACATAATGAACACCTTTACTTCTAACAAAAGCAATGTGCTAAAAGATAAGACAAAAAGCCAGAAAGAAACGTACAATATGACCACCTGCTTAACCTAGGTCTTCGATTTCCTCGTCTAAAGAATAAAGGTATTAAAGATAACCTTCCAGCTCCTAAAATTCTGATTATATATTATGCAAACTGTGAAATTTCAATTCATCTGAAAATAAGTAATGCTAAAGCCAGCACTACTAAAGTCAGGTAAGGACTGAAATAATTACTCATTATATAATATAGGAAACAAGCACGAAATGGCCATCAGAAAATTAATCACCACAATTCTCTCCCAAACTCCTTTACTCTTAAAAGTGAAAGATGAAATTCTAACGGGCCTCAAATCCCACACAAAAACTTGTAAACTCAATAATCTTCCTAAATATCAGTTTTTGTTGGTTTGTTTTTTACAAATCCTCACCTGAGGATATTTTTCTATTTATCTTCCGATAGAGTGGGAGGGAGAGAAAGGAGAGAGAGAAACATCAACGTGAGGGGGACACATCAACTGGCTTCCTCCTGCACGACCTGCCCAGGGCCGGGGATGAACTACAACAGAGGTACGCACCCTTGGCCGAAATCGAACCCGTGACTCATTGGTCCACGGGTCGACGCTCTACTGCTGAGCCAAACTGGCCAGGGACCTAATTATCAGTTTTAATAATAAAATATTAACACATTTCATAGTCACAAAATATGAAAACCATACCGATGACTGGAACATCACTAATCATAGTCAAGTTTCTAGAGAAGTCATTTATCTGATTCTCTTTGCACCCTACGCTACTACTAATCAAGGGTTACTCTGCTCCCCTCTATCACCATCAAAAAATGTCACATTACTGTTACGGTTAAACTGTGTCCTTATGAAAATTCATATACAGAAGACTGACCCAGAGCACTGCAGGGTGTGACCTCATTTGGAAACAGGGTCATTACAGAGCAATCAGTGAAAGTGAGCAGGGTGGCCGGCATCCTTTTAAAGGGGAAATCTTACCCAAACTTGCCTATAGGGAGAACACCTTGTGAACATGAAGACCATCAACAAGCCGAGGAGAGAGACCTGGAACACATCCTACCCTCACAGACCCTGAAGGGACCCATCGTACCAACGTCTTGATTTCGGACTAGCCTGCAGAATTGTGAAATCAGAACTTCCTGTTGTTCAGCCCCTGTGTGTGGTGTGCTCCTTCGTCCTGGCAGCCCCAGAAAGCTAGTGTCACTATGGTAGCACCAGTAGTCACTACACAGCAACTAGAGAAGCTAATGGAAACATCAGGACAGACACAAATCTCGAAGCAGCACCCCAAATTTCAATGCTTGGCCAACATTCCTAACCAACCACACATCTGTAAGAATCTCATGAAAACCACTTTCACAGAGACATGAACATTTTTCATATTGTGTAATTAACTCAAGAGGCTCACTGATCCTCCCCCTCGTCCCCCACTACTTCCACAGATGCATGAACTCTTGATTAAGAACAGCGCTTTATTCAGTGTTGGGGGAGGGGAACCGGATCGGACACTAACCTCTTTAATTAGAAAATAAACACTATCAGCACCACCTCTGAATAAGAAGGAAAAGAGTACAAATGAACTTAATAATAAAACTTTTCCTCAATGTGCTCTGAAATACAGCATTATTTTTACAAAAAGGTAAGTACTTTTAAAAATGTGTGTGTATAACTACATCTGAAAATCAGTAAAACTTTATCACTATAACACATTTTCTCACAAAAGAATGGAGTCTAGTATAATATTCAGATAACAAAATGAAGAAAACTTTTCGTTGGTAACTATGATTTTAATTCTTAAAAACACGGTCAATGAGACTCAGTGTTTGCGTTATTTCTTTATTCTGTCCAATCACTTCACTATCAATAGTTGACAGTGATGCATCACATCGGTAAACTAAGATCAAAAGATTTTAAAACAGAAATCCAGCCCTTTTATATGAGCACTATCAATCACTCATGGCATCCTGAAAAGGTCCTCCTATAAAGAAACACCAGCTAAAATGATGTGATCTGGTCAATAAAAGGACAATTCCAATGTCTCATTATGAAGATTCAAAACACTTGACCTTCTTTCCACAGCTAATTAGTTCTCAGCAGAAAGCACAATGGGAAAATACATAGTTAATACACAGAGTCTAAGGACAATTTGAAAAACATTAACCTCCATTTAAATAGAAAAAAATGAATATTAGACTTTTGCTCTTTCGAAATGTGCTCATCCAATTAATTGAGTCTAGAAAAGTGAAACATGCAAGAAGGTTGTATTCTATCTTGTGAAAGTGTATTTAAGTGAGTTTAAAGACAAAAATCACTGTTCTATATATATTACACAGAAATGATCATAATTGAAAAAGCAGGAAGTGAAAGAGGTAAAAAAAAAAGTCTGGACTGACAATCAGAAGAAATGGGCTATTTCTCCTGCTTCTGGTACAAACTACACATGTGACTTTAGACAAGATCATTTAACCTCTCTGGACCTTGGTTTTTCATCTATAAAAAAAAGGAGTCAGATTTAATTATCTCTAAGGTATCTGTCACTCAGAATAATTCCAAACACTATATATCTTAAAATCTGAAACACGCCATTCAGAATTCCTGATAGAACTTTTACACACTTCATGGGATCAATATAAATTCATCAGTTATTAAACTAAGGGAGACAGTGCTATTTCTCACCTGAAAGCTCATTCTCATGCAGCAAATTTCGGAGCTTACTACAAAGCTGGATCATGTTGTCCAACTGTCGGTTTATCTTCACGTCTTGTATCCAGGCTGGGGTATTACACACTGGGCACTCGGTCCCAATGCAGTCACTTACACAGTTACTGAAAAAGAATTAAACATGTATATGTAATTATCAATGCATTCAGCAGAATCTGAATTCCAAAAAATAAAGTGTTTGAAGAGAAGTAAATGAAGAAAAGGGTGTTCTAACAATGGGCAATTATAAAGTATTTGTTAAAACAAGTGTTTCTGGCCCTGGCCGGTTTGGCTCAGCGGTTAGAGCGACGGCCTGCGGTCCGGAGAGACCCCGGTTCGGTTCCCGCTAAGGGCACGTACTTCGGTTGCAGTTTGTCCCCGGCCCTGGTTGGTCGTGCGGGTGGCAGCCACTTGGTGTGTCCCTTTCACATCGATGTTTCTCTCTCTCTCTCTCTTCCTCTCTCTCCCTCCCACTCTATCTGAACAAAAAATGGAAAAATGTCCTCGGGTGAGGATTAAAAAAACAAACAAACAAAAAAACAAGTGGTTTCTGAAACACAAAATCTAAAGTTACTCAGGTAATTTGCAACGAAGAAACTATGTAGCCAGTCATTAGTCTGCATAATTTTTCCCTACAGATAAATCTACAGCTTCTAATGGGCAGGAGCAGAAGGAGACACAAAAACACATTTAGTGCCTAATACATAACAGCCAAGCATTTCAACCTCCCCATCCTAAACCTTAATACAGTGCTACATGAAAATACCTAAAATTATCAGAGACCAAGAAAGGTACTTTTTGTTTTGTTTTTGGATCAGAGTCCAAGCTTTAGTTTTTGAGGAGAGATCTTTGGTTCTTTCAGGTACATGTGCAACTGTAGATTCAATTAAATTACCTTGGATTATCCGTCCAGGAGTTCCAGTCTCATAATTAGAAGAGTTTTCCTAATTTGGGGGATTATAAACCTTATGCAGATCCAATATAGACATACAGAAGCTCTTATTTAAAAAAAAAAAAGGGGGGGGGGGGGTCACAATCTCCCCTGAAACCTATCTGTGAATTCCAAAATAAGAACCTATAAATCCACTCCTTCCTTAGCCTTGCCAATCGGGCTCTTATAGGACTGGGTACTGTTAGCCTCGTCTCCCCCAAACACTACATCCCTTTTCACGTGACCCACTCATATGGGGAATTCGTCCGGTATGAGCTCCCTTTCAGAAGAAGCCTGAGGCATTTCTAATCTCTGAGTCCCTAGATCCTAGCAGGATTCCTGAATCAAAGTAACTCAATAAATGTTAGAGAATGAATCCATCAACCATATCAGGGCTGAAAGAGACCACCCAGATCATTGGATTCAATAAATGTAAAATTTCTCTAGCAAAGAAAAGAACTTCTTTGAGTTTGCTTGTTGTTAAGAACTCTTAACTTGGAACCTCACCATATGAAGTAGGTAAACTGATTCCTCAGGAGATTTAAATGAAATGATGTACAATACTTAATTATTTGAGGAACACTACTGAAATGGAGTCAAATCCACTTATCAAAAACCATGACACCATTTTCGGACAAAGAAAGTGAGATCCAGTTAGATAAGACACTTACCAGTAGAGCACCACACCAGCACTCAAGTCTATTTTGTTACATAATGTCTGCTTTTAACTGTTCTCAAATTGTTTTATACACATTAATCTAGAATTTGGGGGAAATATGCCATTTCTCAGTAAATCTGCATAACTGGGTGTGCCAATACTTTCCAAGTGACCATGTATGATGTCATAAAATCCTGCCTGGATAAAAGATCTATTCAAAGTACAGGATTAAACCAACAGAATTTAACGTAACAGAGTACAAGAAGTCCACTAACATGGTTTTAGATTCCACACTGCTACAGATTTAAGAAACTATCACTGGTCGAGAAGCGATCCAGTATCAAAGAAGAATACCCATATAAAACACTCCTCCTTTTCCAACTACAGATATATGTAAGATCAGATTTTCTTCACATATCTCAATCTGGAACAGAGGTAACTGGCCAGAATGGGCGTGGCCAATGCAAACGCGGGAAAACCTGGAATATTTAATCCCCTAAACAAAGGAGTCCACTCTCTGGGTCACTCTTGGCTCTGGCCTGTTGCACCTGACTCCTGGTTTGCAGAGCCCGTCCTGTCTCCTGGCATTCTCCCACGTGGCCCCGGCCATGTGGCCCCCACACACAATGGACTGCGACGAAGCTCTGGACACTGGCTTTGCTTTGAGCTCTACTGAATCCCCAGCTATACTTCTTCCACGACTAGACTAAGGAAAATGGGACTTTGGAAGACCAAAGATGTAATTCCACGCAAATAAAAAAATCACTCGTCCTCCCTCCCTGCAAGTCTCAGAAAATTCTTTTTCTTGAGATATCATAAGGACTCCACTCCCAGCACTCAGTGGGGAAAGGGATACCCCAATTCCCTGATAACAGTACCACTTATTACTGTGAAGATCACTGAGGCAGGAACGGGTTGAAGGGGGTCAGCAGATCTGCTCTGAATATATCAAATCTGAAATCCCTTTCAGCATCAAAATGGCACTATCAGATAGGTGACAGGTACTATTTCCTACCCCATCCTCCTGCCGGATATGCCCCCTAAAATAGATCTATGTTTCTAGAAACAAAATTGGGACCCCCAGCACAGCTACCTTCCACAACCCCCAGCCCACTAAAGTCACACCATAAATTACTGTCACATGTGCTTTCAACTCCACACTGAGGTTTGCTCAAGCCAGTTAGTTCCATGGTCATGAGTTGAATAATTAAAAGATTGATTTAAAGGAGACTATATTAACCCTGCTCAGAGACAATTAAACTAAGACATTCAGTCCTTAAATTGATTTCTCCTGAATGAGAAACAGGGTGATATGAAAATCTCATATTCTAACCTATAATCCAGGGATTTCATATTATAACACGGATAGCATTGCACAATTGTTATGGCTTGGACTGCATCCCCCCAAAAGTTTTACCTCCAGTGCCTGTGAATGTGATCATATTTGAAAATAGAGTCTTTGCAGGTAATCATGTTAAGAGGAGGTCGTCAGGTTGATCCCTAATGCAGTGTCACAAGTATACTTATACAAAGGGGAGATCTGGACAGAGACAAACATGCACAGCAGGGAGAACACCAGGTAAACATGAAGCTAAGACCAGAGTGACATATCCACAAGCCACGGAATGACAAAGACTGCCAGATGACAAAGCGTCTCCACCAGAATGCAGGGAAGAAAAACGAGGCAGATTCTACCTCACCGCCCTCCGGTGGCCAACCCGGCTGACACCTTGCTCTCCGACTTCTGGCCTCCAGAAGGGAGAGACAATACATTTCTGTTGCTTTAAGCCACCCAATGCTGGTACTTTGTTATGCAGTCCTAGGAAACATGCAATTTGGAAAGTCTAGAATCAAAACTAACTGGAAGAAAGAAGAGACATATTTGAATTATATAATAATTATTAATTTCTCCACCAAGTCTAGCAAAGCTGCTTATTAAAACTTTATAACTTTGATCAAGTCATCCTCTTTGAGCTTAGATTTTCTTCCTGCAAATTAAGACAGTTATAAGAGTCAAAATGAGATAGTGTATAGTAAGTTACTTTGCAGTCTAAGACAGTTACACAAACATAAGAAATATTATCATCAATACGAATACATGACTGTTACTAGTAAAACCACAGTTGATACATATACATGTAGTAATATATAATATATATCAAGCCATAAGTACTTACCTACAAAAGATGTGCTCACATCTTCCTAAACACACAGGATCCCTCAGAATATTAGTGCTGTTTAAAGACAGGAAAACAATCATGACTTAGTCACTGATAAACATTTTATACCCAACATTACATAAATCCAAGGCCCAACACTATGGTATGTCTTTCTTTTCACAAAGCAGAAGATAAGGATGTATTCACTCTGCTTAAATATTGTATCATAGACCTGGCGGTTTGACTCAGCAGTTAGAGCGTCGGCCCGCGGACCAGAGAGACCGGGGCTCGGTTCCTGCTAAGGGCACATACCTCGGTTACAGTTTGTCCCCGGCCCTTTTTGGGGTCGTGTGAGTGGCAGCCAGTCAATGTGTCTCTCTCACATCGATGTTTCTCTCTCTCTCTCCCGCTCTATCTGAAGATAAATGCAAAAATATCCTTGGATTAGGATTAAAAAAACAAAAACAAAATTGTATCATAACGTACCTGCTGAATTCAAATACCAACTACTGAATTCGGTACAAACTGTAACTCTTTTTATAACATACACTGGGAGGTCACAGAAGAAGTAGCTTTGTTCAAGCATCTCTAAACCTCTCAGAACAGGCAAAACCAACCATTGGCTGCTTCTTTCAACTACTATGATACACCTTAACCTAATGATTCAAAGTGTCGATCATAAATCTCAAAATGAGACCCACAGTTGAAAGACCATATAATGTACCATCCAAATGACAGCATTTCTGAGAGTCAAGAGGACTGATAACTGGACAGGACGCTGGGCCAGCAGGTGTAGTCAGGACTGTCCCAGGAACATCAGGACACCTGATCACCTAGCCATAAGAACTCAATGTTCCCATAAGAAAACATTGGTTCTTGGCTATTGTTAAGTAGCTGCCTATTTTTCACAGATGCCTTGTCAAAAACACAGCCATTCTTTCAGTTCACAGGAAGTCAATTGTTTTGTCCTTAAGCAAGGGCGAATAGGAATCAGGCCAACAATCAATCTGCAGACGGAAGGAGATTCATGGCGCTGGGGGAAGTGAGACCGAAGCGCAATTACTCCCAACACTGCCCATCAAAGTACCTGCTACCCTGATAACCCTAAGCAGGTAATGGCACTTACTGATAAACAAACACTAAGTCATTATATTCAGAGGACATAATGTAGCAAGAGCAAACAGAAGTAAAGTTTTCAAGAGATGAACATTTTTTGTGCTTGCTTTACTACACTAATCCTAGGACCTTTAGGTATTTACTCCATTATTATCCAATTACTTCTGTACACATACAATAAAAAATTTAACACATTTCTTGTATCAAAAGTATCACAACTGCACTATTTAATAGAGATGAACTTAAAATGAAACTGAGCTTTCAGAAAGAGTGCTAAAAACAGAGTATGTACCCACAATGTTATTCTCAAGTTGTTTACTGACATTATAAAGCCCATTACATCTTTTAATTGATTTGAGAGAGCGAGAGGGAGAGAGAGGGAGAGAGAGGGGGAGAGAGGGGGAGAGAGGGGGAGAGAGGGGGAGAGAGGGGGAGAGAGGGGGAGAGAGGGGGAGAGAGGGGGAGAGAGGGGGAGAGGGAGAGAGACATCGATGTGCAAGAGATACACCAATTGGTTGGCTCCCATACAGGCTCCAACTAGGATCAAACCCACAACCTAGGCATGTGCCCTGACCAGGAATCAAACCCACGACCTTCAGATGTAGGGAATGATACTCCAACCAACTGACCCACACAGGACAGGCCTAAAACCCATTACTTTTTAAAAACTCACAATATCTGATTTTCCTATTGTACTACTACATAGAACATAATGAAAATGACTTGTGATGTGCTAGCCAATGTTGTGATTCTGGCAATTAAGATGATCTCTGATGCTGCTTCTATACTTTTTGTTTCTTATTTGATCTTGCAAACCTAATCTCCTATCTCCCAGTCAAGTGTGTTGAATTCTACTTCATTACAAGCTCTGCCTCTGAGATCTCACATCCTCCTACCATCATATCCTCTCTCTCTTTTCTCCCAATCTCCTATAAACAAAGCTAATCTTTTTTTTTTATCCTCACCCAAGGATATTTTTCCATTTATTTTCAGACAGAATAGGAGGGAGAGAGAGAAACATAGATGTGAGAGAGACACATCGATTGGTTGCCTCCCACAAGACCCTGACCAGGGAGGTCTCAGGGACTGAACCACAAGCGAGGTAGGTACCCTTGCCTGGAATCAAGCCTGCAACCCTTTGGACCCACTGAGCCAAACTGGCCAGAGCAACAGAGAGCTCATCTTTTATCTTCCAATCGAGTGTGTTGAATTCTACTTCATTACAAGCTCTGCCTTTGAGATCTTATCTCCTCCTACCATCATATCCTCTCTCTGTCTTTCATTTAATCCTGACCAAACCGCCACCTTCAGGTTGCTCTCCACCATGAGTGAAACCCATGCAGTCCACTAGCTCCCTGAACTCCATGTCCAGCCTAGGCCAGAGTTAACTACTTCAGAGCCATCTCGACCACCACCCTCTTCCACTGACCTCGCAGAGCCTCAGGTACGCAGATTTATGCTACACAGGCCCACAGTCCACTCCTTCCTCGCCGGCTCTCAGGCTGAGTAACCATCATAAAGAGACAGAATGATGTACAAGTATCTCTCTATAAATATATGTGGTGGCTTCTTGACCGCTGTACCTCTATCAAAGTGATAAGTAAACAAACAGATAGCTATTCAAAATAATCTCCATGCTCCTAAATCCCATTAACTGTACTGAAGTCAAATGGTACGAGCTTTTCACCACCTAGACTGAGTCCTACCTCTTCACCCATAATCTTACCCTCCTTCAAAACGATCGTTTCCTTTTTAAATGTGCTGCTCTGTCTGTCCCTAGATCCCATATCTTCTGACTCCTAAAGTATTCTATTCTCATCATTGTGGTCACCTTCTCCCATCTGCATCTAAACATGCACAGATCTTCTTTCCTGCAACCTAAAAAAAATACACTTTCTTTAGCCTGTGCCTCCCACTCTACCTTCTGACCAGCTCTCCCCTTCCTGGCAGACACGTTCTTTAAAAAGTGCTCTATCCAGCTAAATCCATCTCCTTCCCTTGCTAGCTCTGACTTCCCACTGCCGAAACTGCTCTCCAAAGCACTTCTGGTCCTCATTCTCCGTGACCTCTCTGTGAAATAAGATTTTCATCACCCTCTTTCCTGAAACCTTTCCTTCCATTGAGCATTAATTTTCTTATTCATCTGCCTATTTCAGCACTTCTCGGGCTGGTTCTTTTATCTCTCAACGTGGGCCCACTCCCAGGATACAGTCCCCAGCATTCTCGCGTTCTCTGACCGTATCTGACGCAGTGCCTTCGCTCTTCTGTTTCTAAACTTAAATTTCCTTCCTAAGATGACTGTGAACTCTTTACCTAAATGTTACCATCATAATTAGCTATTTATTAACATTAATAATAGACAGAGAGCAAAGGGAGGGCCAGACATTGTGAGCATGGTCATCTGGGCAGCTTCACCCTCCCCGGGGAACCACCGTCCACTCCCTGCAGATCACTGGGAGAAAGAGATCGAACAAAGAGGGAGCCAGGCCCATGTGCAGAAAAGCCGGGGCAAAGTAGGGAAGGTGCTTGCCTGTTGGTCTAGCCTGGGGAAAAGGTCACCAGCTAGAAGGGTGAAGCCACCTCAAGCTCAAAATCTTAGACGGGTAACAAACCCCGAGTCCCCCTCTCCTGCCCTCTGCGTCCCCCTTACTCCTAGCTCCATGACCCACACTCACCCGCCCTGTGGCCTTCAACAACCGCATGGACCTATCCGCAATGGCATCTGGGAGCACAGGCTCCCCTCGGCAGACGCTGGACCGGACTGGACTTTCATAGGGAGCAGAGACTGGGCAGTGGCCTTAACCCTAGCCCTGCTGAAGACAAGACTGGACTTTTTCCACGGCAAGATGAACAGGGAGGGGAACCCCCTTAATTTTATATCGTCAATAAAGCTTTCCACAAAACCCCATCCTCCTGTGGGAGCCTCAAAAAATTCTTTTCCTTGCCCTGGCCGGTTTGGCTCAGCGGTAAGAGCGTCAGCCTGTGGGCCAGAGAGACCCGGGTTCGGTTCCCTCTAAGGGCATGTACCTCGGTTGCAGTTTGTCCCCGGCCCTGGTTGGTCGTGCGGGTGGCAGCCACTCAATGTGTCCCTTTCACGTTGATGTTTCTCTCTCTCTCCCTCCCACTCTGTCTGAACAAAAAATGGAAAAATGTCCTCTGGTGAGGATAGAAAAAAAATTCTTTTCCTCTCAGCATCCCAAGAACTCCACCCACTTCCACCGATAACATATAATTCGTACCCTCCACCCTGGCAATAAGATGCTATAGTATAATTAGCAATAAATCTAATAACTATGAATTGTTGCTATTAATAGATGAGACAAGACTGGGAGAATGACTGAGAAGTACCTGCCTGTGAGCGCTGGGGGCAGGCACAGGAAGAGGTTACAGCACAGCTGGGAGACAGCAGAGACACCTTAAAGAATGTTAACATAAGAGCTTGGGAGGGGGCAAAGTTTTGCCAACCCAAAATATGCTTCCTGGGACACAGACTTTAAGCGAATTATTATAAAACAAAAGACTCAGAAAGAACCTTTGCCCCTCCCCTTGCCTGGCTAAAGGAAACCAGACAGAAAGACCTGCTTAAAGAAAGGAAACATCACCTTAGCATCTCCGTCTACACTAAATGTGGCCCACAGGAAGAAAAGCTAATTTGAACTCCCTTCTGCTTCCCTTATTTTTTTTTTTTTCTGGAAAGCCCAGCAAGAATTTATTTACATGTTTGCTCTTTCTCATCTACCTGTGAATTGCCTATTTCTCCTTGGAAGTCCCAGACCCCGACCCCCTTTTCTCCTTTGTCCAAAATGGCCCATAAACCTCTCAACAGCCCAATGCGTCTTTTTCCAGGTCTCGTGTCTTACGGCACCCCTGCATGGACATCCATAATAAACCGTGGACACTTTCTCCTGCATGGACATCCATAATAAACCGTGGACACTTTCTCCTGCATGGACATCCAT